TCTCTTCTCATCCCTGCTCCCATCCCCACTCCCATTCCCATCCCCATTCCCATTCCTGCTCATTCGCTCTATCCCTGTTCCCATCCTCACTCTCATCCCAGCTCCCATCCCTGCTCCCATTCCCACTTCAACTCCACTCCCATCTCTTCTCATCCCTGCTCCCATCCCCACTCCCATTCTCATTCCCATCCCCATTCCTGTTCCTGCTCATTCGCTCTATCCCTGTTCCTATCCTCACTTCCATCCCAGCTCCCATCCCTGCTCCCATTCCCACTTCAACTCCACTCCCATCTCTTCTCATCCCTGCTCCCATCCCCGCTCCCATTCCCACTTTCATCCCCATTCCCATTCCTGCTCATCTGCTCTATCCCTGTTCCCATCCTCACTCCTATCCCAGCTCCCATCCCTGCTCCCTTTCCCACTCCAACTCCACTCCAACTCCACTCCCATCTCTTCTCATCCCTGCTCCTATCCCTTCTCTCATTCCCACTCCCATCCTCATCCCCATTCCCTCTCCCATCCGTGCCCCCATCCCTACTCCTCCCCAGTCCTATCCCTCTTTCCATCCTGCTTCCATCCCTGTTCCCTTTCCCTCTCCCATCCCCTCTCCAATCCCTCTCCCACCCCCTGCCCTGCCCAATCCCTCCATTTCCCACTCTGTGGATCCCACCCTTGGAATCTTGGCCGGATGGGAGCCACACCATTCCCAGGAACTCACCTCAGAGGGAAGGAGAGCTCCAGCTGCTCGATGACCTGCAAGGAGGGGAGGAGGGGACGAGGCTTAGCCAGGAGGGGACACATCACATGGGTTTGGGGGACACTTGGGAAGCAAATCCCTGGATCTTACCGACTTCTGGGCGTCAAACATCAGGTTTTTGTAGAACTGGATGAAGTGGGAGAAGGTCATTTCATTCCTGGCTTCCACTTCCTGAGGGAGACGGGGCCGGAGGTAAGAGCGGGGCCACCCCTCCGGACACAGGGACACCGGGGCGGTTCCAGCCCTTCTGGAAAAGCTGGAAAACCATCTCCCTCCCGGGTGGGGTGTTCAGGGGGTCCTTACCACGAGTTTATCCCGCAGGAATCTCATGTTGGGAACGCGGTAGTTCACCTGGGGCAGCATCGCCTTCAGGTCCTTCACGGTGATGCTGCCGGAGCGGGAGACGGATTCGGGATGGAGAACCAACCCCTGGATGGATTTTGGCTCCCACCCCAAATCCTGCTGCCTGGCATGGGGATTCCACCCTCCCAGTGCCTGTGGATCCCTCCAGGCACAGGACCCAGAGAAATCGTGGATGTCCCATCCCGGGAAGTGCTGAAGGCCAGGATGGACAGGGCTTGGAGCAACCTGGTCTAGTGGAAGGTGTCCCTGCCCACGGCAGGGGGTTGGAATTCCATGATCTTTAGGTCTCTTCCCACCCAAACCATTCCATGATTCCATGACCACTGGTGGAAAAGCAATGGAAATCGGGATCCCTGTGGTCCTCACACCCAAATCTCTGATTTTCCACGTCTCCAGGCATCCCAAAAAACCTGGTGCTCCCTTGTCCCATGTGGTGTTTGGCACGAGTGTGAGCAGAGGGCCAAAGAGAGGAAGCACATCCCAAGAACCAGCTGGGCTCTCTAGGCCATCATCCCACCTGGAGATGATGCCCATTCCCATCTCCACCATAATTTAAGTGCAAATTCCCTTGAGTTGGGGTTTTCCCTGCCTTTGGAAGTTGTTTCTGGCCTGCATTAACGGTCCAGCTCCTCCTGCTACTGGTGGAAAAGCAATGGAAATCGGGATCCCCATGGCCTCCACACCCAAATCTCTGATTTTCCGTGTCTCCAAGCATCCCAAAAAACCTGGTGCTCCCTTGTCCCACAGGGTGTTTGGCACAAGTGTGAGCAGAGGGCCAAGGAGAGGAAGCACATCCCAAGAACCAGCTGGGCTCTCTAGGCCATCATCCCACCTGGAAATGATGCCCATTCCCATCTCCATCATAACTTAAGTGCAAATTCCCTTGAGCTGGGGTTTTCCCTGCCTTTGGAAGTTGTTTCTGAGCTGCATTAACGGTCCAGCCCCTCCTGCTACTGGTGGAAAAGCAACGGAAATCGGGATCCCCGCGGCCCTCACACCCAAATCTCTCATTTTCCGTGTCTCCAGGGATCCCAAAAAACCCGGTGTTCCCTCATCCCACGAAGCCACCAGATTTGGGATGCAACCGAGGGAATCTGGTCCCGTCCTGCCAAACCCACCACCTGCTTCCGAATCTGGGGCCGTGCCACTGCTCACCTGCCTTCCCGCGCCCGGTCCATCCCGTCAAACTGCTTCCGGAGCCACCTGGGAAAGAAGGAAGGGATGGACACACGGAGGAGCAGATCCAGGGGGGATTTTTGTCCCTCAGGCAGGGAATTGGGATTTGTTGGTGTTTGCCCACCTCTCGATCTGCAGCGGGGTCTGGGCCCTCTGGGTATCAGCCACCAGCCAGTTGAGCCCCGTTATCCAGAGGTTGATGTCCTCCTCGCAGAAAGCTGGAAAAGGAGAAGGAGAGACGGGAATTGTGGGATGTTGGGAAGGGGGTGGGATCCAAGGGGAGGGGTGTGGGAGCCCAACGCACCGGCCACGCTGAGTGTCCGCAGCCGGAAGTCCATCCCGTAGAGGATGATGAAGCACATGGTGAAGTCCAACTTCCGAGCGTCCTCGGGGTAGCGCTCGAAATCCCGGGAATTCTTGCCCAGGCGGATCTCCTTGATCTCCCGGATGTCGACTGCGGAGAGAGAGGAACATGGAAATGGCTCCTGATGCTGTGGATTCGTGTGAGGGACTTGTGGAGGCTGCAGGAGGTGGGACTGCCAGGATGGGACATTCCCGGGAATGTGTGATGGAATTGTGGGTGCTGTGGCCACGTGGAGACACGTCCCCGGGGCCCTCCAGGGATGTGCGATGGCACCACGGGCATGGCATGTCCTTCAGGGAACATAGGGTGTCTCCGTTGGGGTGGGATGGCATCATGAGTTCCATGGATTTGTGTCCCAGGATGTCCTGGGATGGGGTGTCCCTGCCTGTGTGACAGCACCACGGGTGCCATGGCCGTGTGTCCTCCATGGATTTGTATCCCAGGATATCCCCGGGATGGGGTGTCCCTGCCTGTGTGACAGCACCATGGGTGCCATGGCCGTGTGTCCTCCAGGGATTTGTATCCCAGGATATCCCCAGGATGGGGTGTCCCTGCCTGTGTGACAGCACCATGGGTGCCATGGCTGTGTGTCCTACATGGATTTGTATCCCAGGATAGGGTGTCCCTCCTTGGGTGCCATGGCCATGCGTCCTCCAGGGATTTTTATCCCAGGATATCCCAGGGATGGGGTGTCCCTGCTTGTATGACAGCACCACGGGTGCCATGGCCGTGTGTCCTCCAGGGAATCACGTCCCCAGGACAGGATGTCCCCACAGCACCACCTCCACGTGCCTGATGACCCCCCACTCCCTGTGTCCTCCACGGACTCCCATCCCCAGGATGTGGCTCCCACCAGCTCTTCCCACACTTTTCCCAGCTCTGTGGTTGCCACGCGTCCTCCGGGTCCATCCTGCCCCATCCCAACCGGCCCAGGGCAGACCCTGGGATGGGCTGAGCTCAGCTTTTAATTGGAGCCTCTTCCCAAAAGTGGTAATTTGAGTTTGGACCGCAGGGCGTTGCTTTCCTGCTGCTCTGCTCCCTCATTATCCCGCTAAATAAAGCTCCGGTGGCGTTGGAAGGGCCGGGTTTCCGGAGCCTGCTCTTCCTCCACCACGGGAGACTTCCCAATTTTCCCAGTGGATTTGTCCCACCGGGAGCAGAATAATAACACATTATTAGGAATAACACCCAAAGTTGTTCCCGATCCCACAACCGTCACCCCTCCCTCGGGGAAGGTTTGGACTCTGGGAATGAGCCAGGGACGCCGGAAAAGGCTTTGTGTGACCGAGAGAGCGGCCGGACCCCGAGCCTGGGCATTGTCCTGCCAAGGAAATGGGTCATTTCCCGGAGAATTTCCAGCCCCGGCCCCGCTTCCGATGTGGGGAAGAGTCCACGGAGCCTGATCCACAGTGGGAAAAGCAAAGGCTGAATGCAGGGAGGGAAAAGAGATTGGGGGAGGAATGGGGGCTGATTAAGCAAGAAAAGAGGGGCCGGGGAGTTTTTCTTGGCGGAAAAGCTCCAGAAAACACTGGAGGCTTTATCCAGGTTTTTTTTTTTTTTTTGCTGGATGACCACAAGCCAAATTTCATGGATCAGGGTGGGATTGTAGCACAAGTGGCACACGGGGGCTCCGCAGGCTGGCACGGGCTTTGTTCTGGGACAAGATCCCAAGAAATCAAATCCCGTTGTCTCCGTGGGGCTCCCGGGGCTTGGAGAAAACTCTCCTTGGGACAAACAGGCAGATTTTTTTGGGGGAAAAAGGGGTTTATGGGTTAAAAAACGGCTGCTCAACCCCAAACCTGCCCATCCACAGGGAGAGGGGAGAAGTCAGAGGATACCAACAGGCCACAAAGGTGTATTCCTTGGATTCCACAGCTCCAGGACACAGCCTTGGACCAGACTTCTGAGTGCTGCCAATAATCCCAGGATGGTTTGGGTTGGAAGGGAGCGGAAAGATCATGGAATTCCAACCCCCTGCCGTGGGCAGGGACACCTCCCACTAGCCCAGATTGCTCCGGCCTGGCCTGGAACACTTCCAGGGATCCAGGGGCAGCCACAGCTTCTCTGAGAATTCCAGCCCAGCCCCTCACCACTCTCCCAGCCAAGAATTCCTTCCCAATATCCCATCTAACTCTCTGGTAGTGGGAAGCCATTCCCTGTGTCCTGTCCCTCCACCCCCTGTCCCCAGTCCCTCTCCAGCTCTCCTGGAGCCCCTTTAGGCCCTGCACGGGGCTCCAAGGTCTCCCTGGAGTTTCCCTTCTCCAGACTGGACATTCCCAGCTCTCCCAGCCTGGCTCCAGAGCAGAGGGGCTCCAGCTTCTAGAGCATCTCTGTGGCCTCCTCTGGACTCGCTCCAGTAGCTCCACATCCTTCTGATGTTGGGAATTTCTGGGCTGGAGGCAGCTCTGCAGGTGGGGTCTCACCTGAGCGGGGCAGAGGGGCTGAATCCCGCCCTCTCCTGCTTCCCATGCTGTGGGACGAGCCCAGAACACAGGGAATTCCTGCTTTTCCACCCACCAACACCCCCCAAATCCCTCTCCCCGTGGCAAAGAGCCCATTCCCACAAAGAACCAGGGGAAGAGGGAGCGGCTGCACAAAACAAGGGAGCCGGAGCCGGGAGCTTCCTGGAAACCACATCTGCGGCGGATTTGCAGGCATCACGTCGGAACTAAGTCTCCAAACTCCTCCCAGCATTGTCTCCAGGATCCCCGGGCGATTAAAACACTCTGGAAGGATTAAAACACCCTGGAAGGATTAAAACACCCTGGAAGTCGCTTCCAGCTGCGAAAATCCCTTTTTCTTTTCTAATGCAAAGCGAGCAGCTCCTGGGGCAAAGAGGATTTGGAATGGTGGGAAGAGCAGGTCCTGCCCAGCGGATTTTAGGGATGCTGAGTGAAGGCCTGGGAATTTTTTTCAGGCCTTAGGAGGAAAAAGGGGATGGAGGGAATGTTGTGCCGGGAAATCCCAGCTCTGGTGGCACAAGCCACGTCCACCTCAGTCACCCGTTCTTCCAGGACACTTGGAAGCTCAGAATTCCCTCCAGGGGGGAATTTGGGAGACAGTGTCCCCCTGGGAATTCCCGTGGTGGGATTTAAAACCTGAAAGAAAATATCCCTCCTGCTCCAGCAGTGATAAATCCCATCTGGATTTTCTCCTCCCCAAAAAATCCCATTTCTAATTCTTTGGCATTAACGAGGCTGGAAGTGTCACCTCTCCAAAATCCTCTTGGATTTTCCACGCTGCCTTCACCCCTGTTGTTTTTAATTTCTTATAAAGATCCTTTTTTGGGCTGTTTTCTGCCAGATTCCCTGTGCTGGGAATTGGGATTTGCTGAGGGTGAGGAGCTGGGAGACCTCCAGGATGAGGTTAATTTTGGAGGTGATGTTCCAGGTGATCTCAGGTCTGGACATGGATCCCAGGCCTAGACATGGATCAAAGGACTGAACATGGATCAAAGGCATGGACATGGATCCCGGGCCTGGACAGGAATCCCAGGCCTGGACACAGATTCCGGGCCTGGACATGGATCTCGGGCCTGGACACGGATCTCGGGCCTGGACACGGATCCCAGGCCTGAACATGGATCCCAGGCCTGGACACAGATTCCGGGCCTGGACATGGATCTCGGGCCTGGACACGGATCCCAGGCCTGGACATGGATCCCAGGCCTGGACATGGATCCTAGTCCTGAACATGGATCCCAGACCTGGACATAGATCAAAGGAATGGACATGGATCAAAGGCCTGGACACAGATCCCAGGCCTGGACACAGATCCTGGGCCTGGACATGGATCCCGGGCCTGGACACAGATCCCAGGCCTGGACACAGATCCTGGGTCCAGACACAGATCCCAGGCATGGAGAGGAATCCCAGCCATGGACACGAATCCCAGGCCCTGACACAGATCCCGGGCCTGGACACAGATTCCAGGCCTGGACGCGGATCCCGGGCCTGGACATGGATCCCAGGCGTGGACACGGATCCCAGGCCTGGACACGGATCCCAGGCCTGGACACGGATCCTGGGCCTGGACACAGATTCCAGGTCCAGACACAGATTCTGGGTCTGGACACGGATCCCAGGCCTGGACACAGATCCTGGGCCTGGACATGGATCCTGGGCCTGGACATGGATCCTGGGCCTGGACACAGATTCCAGGTCCAGACACAGATTCTGGGTCTGGACACGGATCCCAGGCCTGGACACAGATCCTGGGCCTGGACATGGATCCTGGGCCTGGACATGGATCCTGGGCCTGGACACAGATTCCAGGTCCAGACAAAGATTCTGGGTCCGGACACGGATCCCAGGCCTGGACACGGATGCTGGGCCTGGACACGGGTCACAGTCCTGGACATGAATCACAGGCCTGGACACAGATTCTGGGTCCTGACACAGATCCCAGGCTTCGACATGCATCCCAGGCCTGGACATGGATTCCAGGCCTGGACACGAATCCCAGGCCTGGACACAGATTCCAGGTCCGGACACAGATCCCAGGCCTGGTCATGGATCCTGGGCCCGGACACGTGTCCATCAGCCACTTAACAAAGCATGTAATTATCCTGGGAGTCCAGGGGAGAGCCTGGATCTTTGTCCTGGCCCTGACAATTCCTAACAGAGACATCAGCCCTTCCCACTAATCCCTCTCCCAGTGGGATGTCGGTCGGAAGGGGGGATTTGAAATGGTCCTGGCAGGCGTGAGGTGTGGGAGATCCCGGCACTTCCATAACATCCCAACCCGGCAGCGTGTGGCACTTCCGGAAAAAACAAGGAGCTGGGAATGCCTTAATTCCATGACTGGATAACGAGCTCTTCTCCATGAGGATCTAAACCACCTTTCCAAGAATGGGTGTCCTTCCTCCCATCACTCATCCCACTCCTGCCACCCTCCTTCCCAGCTCAAAGCCTTTCCATGGCTGGAATCCGGCTTGGGATCAGCCCCTCTGAGCCCCTCCAGGGAAAAGGCACCTCCCAGACCTCCAGGGTGGGTTTTGCCATCATCCAGGAGAGGTGATATCCCAAAATCGAGTTCCTTCCCTGCACGGGATGTGGGATGAGGTGAGGGTGGAGCTCCGGGTCACCCCAATCCCGGGTTTTCATCCCTCGGCTCTTTTCAGCTCCATTTGAAGCCTGGAGGTAACGAGCACCAAGACACGGAATTCCACCAATTCCCAGTGGCGGGAGAACGTCCCAAGAGCCCAGTGAATCCACAAGTAAGGACGGTTTTTAGGGATGCTCCAGTGGGAGCAGCCCAGTTTTGGGGTAAAAAGCACCGTGAGCAGGAACAGCGACGGTCACTCCTTTACCTCCTTGCCAGGGAGGATATAAATCCCTCGGGATCACACAGAAGCAACTTCACCCCCAGGACAAGGTGGGAAGGAGGAGGTGATGGTTGCCCAGCCCAGCAGCTCCTGCTTTTATGGGAATCACCCCACAGTAGGACGTTCCATAGGGGATGGAGATCCCACCATGGCAGGACATCTCACCATGAACAGGAACCCCAAAACCAGTCACCCCACCATGGTAGGACATCCCACCACGAACAGGAACCCCAAAAACGGTTACCCCACCAAGGTAGGACATCCCAACAGGTTCAGGAACCCCAAAACCAGTCACCCCACTATGGCAGGACACCCCACCATGAACAGGAATCCCAAAACCAGTCACCTCACCATGGTAGGACACCCCACCATGAACAGGAACCCCACAGCCAGTCACTCCACCAAGGCAGGACATCCCAACAGGTCCAAGAACCCCACAACCAGTCACCCCACCACAGCAGGACATCCCACCATGAACAGGAACCCCACAGCCAGTCACTCCACCAAGGCAGGACATCCCAACAGGTCCAAGAACCCCACAACCAGTCACCCCACTAAGGTAGGACATCCCAACAGGTCTAGGAACCCCACAACCAGTCACCCCACCACGGTAGGACCCCCCAACACGTCCAAGTACCCCAGAGCTGGTTACCCCACCGTGCCCAAAAACTCCCCAGCCAGTCACCCCACCACAGTAGGACACCCCACCATGCCCAGGAACCCCTCAGCCAGTCACACCACCATGGTAGGACATCCCACCCTGAACAGGAACCCCATGACCAGTCACCCCACCACACCAGGACATCCCACCATGCCCAAATACTCCCCAGCCAGTCACCCCACCATGGCAGGACATCCCACCACAACCACACAGCCGGTCACGCCACCATGCCCAA